GGCGGGGACGCGCTGCGGCCGGCGCGCGTGGCCCGCGTGGCGCGGGAGGAAGCCGTGGGTGTGTTCGCGCCGCTCACGGCGCACGGGACCCTGCTGGTCAACGACGTGCTGGCCTCGTGCTACGCGGTGCTGGAGAGCCACCAGTGGGCGCACCGCGCCTTCGCTCCGCTGCGCCTGCTGCACGCGCTGGGGGCGCTGCTGCCCGGGGGCGCGGCCCAGCCGACGGGCATGCACTGGTACTCTCGCCTCCTCTACCGCCTGGCGGAGGAGCTCCTGGGCTGAGTCCCGGGCGCAGCGACCGGGCGCCTGACTAAGACGGGTCCTGCGGGCTGAGACCTGCGGGCGCGGGACGCCGGCGACGCTGGCCGGCAGGGTGGGAGGGGAGCGAGGAAGGGGGCCGTTCGGAAACCGCCTGCTTTGGGGCGGCGTCCCACCGCGAGGAGGCGGCCCTGCTCCTTGCAGACGCAGTTGGTGGTGGGCTCTCCATCACGAGGACTGCCTAGCCTCTTCTTCCCCTGAGCTTCAGCCCCACTTGATAGTTTTATTTTATTTTCTATTTATAAATGGTAATATAATGAGCTGCTTGCCCGGCAGCCAAGGCGAGGGGCCGGGGCGCGGCGTTAACACTGTCGGACACGGCTAGCCAGTCTGATGTTCGTGTTTCTCTGAGGTGGGCTAATAAAGGGAAGGTTTCCAGGAGCTCGGTGGAAAACACTTCCGTTCACAGGGTGATTCACCTCCGAAGGGGGGTCCGAGCCAGGTCAACGCTCTGCTTCCGGCTCCTCCTCCTTCCTCAGCAGGGTCCCTGGAACCCTTTTCCTCCCCGCGGAGGGGCATCCCAATCCATCACAACAGAGGCCAGAAGTGTTTTGCTCTGGTTTAGGCTGCGGGTCCCATCTCCTTCCTGCCTGCAGAAGACCGGCATTCTTCGCCCGAGGCTGCATACCGACCTCCGAGGGGCAGGGTGGTCCAGAGCAGGCAGGCGCTCGCACATCCTTTCTCGGTCCACAGGGGCTCTCGCAGGGACTCAGGCCCCAGACGTAGAGATACTTCAAACACCAGGTCTTCCGTTGCTCACAGCCTGGCCCCTCCCTCAAGGCCGTGAATGCGCCTGGCCCTCATCCTACCTGGTGGTGTGTTCTGAATGGGGGTGATTTTTTTTCTGGGATGTCGGGGCCAACTGGTGATCCCTGGGAATCTATGGGTAATAACTTGCAGTCGACACACACTCGCGGCCTGAAGAAAGAACCTGGACAGAGGGCTGAAACCCTTCCTTACTGAAGGGCTGCAGGGAACAGGTTCAGCCCGGGCTGTATGTTGGGAAAACAGGGTCCCCAGGCAACGAATGTAAGTGCTACAGTCTGACCTCCCTTCCTGATCGCCAGGCCTGGTTGTTGTTCGTACGGGCTTCCTCCACTGCCTTTCCTCTCCCTTCCATTATTGCCGGTCCGGCTCCCTGACCTGCGTGTTTGGGAAGACCTGGGTTCCAACACAAGAGACACCTGGAACCCAGCCAGGCAGGTGCCCTTAAGTTAGGAATAGAAGCTCGGGCAAGTGGGACTGCTCCGGAAGGGGAATGTCTGGGGTCTGAGGGACAGTCGAGGGAGGCTGGAAATGAATTCATGGCGCCAGAACCAGCCGCCTCTACCTCTAAATAGATTGGTCCTCCTCTGAGCATCGGAGCCCACAGGGTCCCCGCTATACATTGCCCCCTTGTGGCCATCAGGAGAATTCTGGGCTTATGCTTGCAGCTAGATGGGTGTACTGGGCCTGCGCAGAGGAGCCCTCCGGGAGTCAAGGTGGTGGGTGGGGCCTGTTCGGTGGCTGTCGGTGAGGAGGCCGCTCGCTGCTCTTTGGGAGAGTCGTTCCAAACCTGCCGCTTTCGCATCCCTCCTGCCCCGCTGAGCTCCGTGGCTCCCAGAAGCTGGAGGGGTAGCGCCGGTAGTGCACATGCCGCAGCCCAGACTTCTTACACATTGCAGTTGCCCCCTCACGCCCCGCACTCCTGTGACCTTCGAGGGCTGTTTTGTTTTGAGACAACATCTCGCTGTGTAGCCCAGGCCAGCCGTGAACTCCGGTGATCTCTGGCTTCAGCCTCCTGCGCGCTCGGATCACAGGTGCGCCTGGCTGCGACCGCTGGAGTTCACCAGCCGAGGAAGTGAGAGCAAGTTGAGTTCTAGCGAGTGCTTGATAAGCGCAGGATTTGGAAGCGGTCTAAATTTACACTTAGTGCTCTTCCCCGCTCCATGCCCTCAGTCCGCACCTGCGCCTGTTGCTGCCCTCTCTCTTACTGGTCTCAGAAGTGCACCCCACACTGTGCCCCTTTCTTGCTTCCCTTGTGTTGTCAAATCCTGATGCCTGTGTCCCGTCACCCAGACAAGACTGATGTGATGAACTAGTCTTCCTGTGTTGGTAGGCTCCTTGTTCTTAATGCCCTTCTCAGGTAATGCATCTATCCTAAAAGCCAGTTGAAAATAAGGCCTTAGACATAAAACCATAATGGTGATGACTACCAACATCTTAATAGGTTATGCAGGGAGACATTTGGGGGTGTCTTTTCTCCTTGGTGAGAAAAAATACCCAACACCCAAAGTTAAACGGGAAAGGTTTGTTTAGCTCACAGTTTGTAGAGGTTTCAGTCCAGAGCTGGCTGGCTCCAAGGCAAGGTGGCTTTGCAGAGGGGCATCAAGGAGGAAAAAGAACCCATGGTAAAGCAGGGCAGGCAGCAAGCAGGGGCAGCAGGAGAAGCAGCAGCAGGCCTGCCTTCTTCTGTCCCTTTGTATCCAAGGGTGGGCCTTCCCATTGCCCACACCCAGAACAATACCAGGCCAATCACTGGACTAATTTAGTACTACACACCCTTTTTTTTTTTTTTTTTTGTCTTTTTGAGACAGGCTCTCGCTAGGCAGCTCAGGCTGGCCTTGAGCTCACTTTGTAGCCCAGGCTGGCCTCGAACTCACAACGGTCCTCCTGCCTCAGCTTTCTGAGTGCTGGGATTATAGGGGTATGCCACCACACCTGACAACTACACACCCTTAATTCCAGCATCACACACTGAATCCCAGCATCACACAGTCTAGATACAGCCACCTCTGAAAAGCCCACCTATGACAGCCTGAGGCTTTGAGGGGGACATCTAGATACAAGCCATAACAGGAGAAAAGGGAAATTGTTGGTAGACCTTAAATTACTTCCTGTAGGTTATTCCCAGACCTGAGGCTTACCTCTCACTCCCCATTTCCATCCTTTATTCTTGTTCCCTTGAGCACCTTCCCAGGTCTTTGGAAAGAAAATCTATGAAAAGCCATGCATTTTAGCACATGCCTGTAATTCCAGCTTTCTAGAAGGCAGAGGCAGGAGTATCACAAATTCAAGGCCAGCCTGGGCATCTTAGTGAGAACTTGTCTCAAAATGAAAAAAAAAAAAAAAAGGCTGGGGATACTCGAAAAGTGTTAGCATGCATGAGGCCCTGAGTTCAATCTGCAGAAACACACACACACACACACACACACACACACACTCCATAACTCCAGCCAGGAAAATGTTCCATCTCTGTGAAGCAGGTAGGCATACTCGCTTGGCCATGCAACACCTTTTTTTTTTTTTCCGGTACAGGGAATCGAACTCACAACCTTGCGCTTTCCAGGCAGGTGCTGTGTCACTGAGCTAAATCCCCAGGCCCAACAACACCTTTTTTGATTAACAAGGTTTGGGAGTCAGATAGGCCTGGGGATAATGCCACCTTCCTGACAGAGCCACTGATAAAGATAGGTCCTGGTGTGGAATGGGAGCTTGAAACCACTTTCTATTCTTTGCATCCATTTCTCACTGCTTTTTTTCCTCTTTCTGCGGGTTTGTTTCTCTCCCCAACGCTCCAGTAAGAACATTATTAATGCAAACATGTGGGGTCGAGTGACACCTACAGCTGCTTGATTCTACAGCACTGACACTCCAAAAGGTGCTGCGTGACTGAGTTGGGTTTCAGAACTAAACTATAATTAAAAGTAATCTTGTTTTGAAAATTTATGAAGCATGTTGTGATGACTCTGGCCAGACCTCTGCACACTAAACAACTAGTAAGATACTCCGAGTGCTGGGGTTACAAGCATGCGCCAGTGTGCCCGGTGAGCTATTTATTCTTTTTTTTTGGTCTTTTTGAGACAGGCTTTCGCTAGGCAGTTCAGGCTGGCCTTGAACTCACAACGATCCTCCTGCCTCAGCTTCCCCAGTGCTGGGATTACAGGTGTGCACCACCACGCCCAGCTATTTTTATTTTTATTTTTATTTTGATACCTGGAACCAAACTCAGGACCTTGCGCTTGCCAGGCAGGCACTGTGCCACTGAGCTATATCTCCAGAGCTATTTATTCTTGCTCATGACCTTCATTGAATCA